GGAAGATCATTGATGTATATGAGGAAGAGCAGGGGACCAAGGACACTTCCCTGGGGAACTCCAGTATCAAGTGGCTGTGTTGTTGATGCTGTGTCTTTAATGGTTACATACTGATACCTATTAGTAAGGTAAGATTTGAAATAAGCAAGCGCATGGCCTCTTATACCGTAATGGTCAAGTTTATGGAGTAGGATGTCGTGGTCTACTGTGTCAAAAGTTTTTCTTAGGTCAATAAAAATTCCTAGTGGATATTCCTTATTTTCCAATGCTGTGTAAAGCAGATCTAGCATTTTTATGATTGCATCATTAGTGCTTTTATTTTTCCTGAATCCAAATTGGCAGGGGTTGAGTATGTTTTGTGCCGTTATAAATGAATATAGTCTCCTGTGCATGAGTTTCTCAAAGATTTTGGATAGCAATGGTAAGTTTGATATTGGCCTATAGTTGTTTAAGTCTGTAGGGTCACCACCTTTATGTATTGGTGTAACCCTTGCCATTTTGAGTAGTTTCGGGAAGGTGCTAGTTTCTAGTGACTTGTTAAAGAATAATGAAATAGCATGCGAAAGGACATGGGCCGCTCGCTTGTACAGTAATGGTTGGACATGAGACAGATTCCCTGAGTTATTTTTAAGTGACTTTATAATCTCGGTGACTTCTCTGGGCTCAGTTGGTGCAAGATAGAAGGAATTTGGGAAATTCCCATCTAGGTAGTCCCCGGCATGGGCATTGGTATGTGGGATTTTATTGGCGAGATTAGATTCTATGGTTGAGAAGAAGTCGTTTATCTTGTTAGCTGTGTCAGTGGGATGTAGTGGTGTTTCATTAGGTTTAGTTAGGACAATATTCTTGGTTTTTTCAGTTTGTGGGTCCCTAGAATCTGAGAGAGTGTTTTCCAGGTCTTTTTTACATCTCCTCTAGTGTCTGTGAATCTACTGGAGTAGTATAGTTGTTTGGCTTTCTTTATTACTTTGGTGAGAACTGATGAATAGTGTTTAAGAATATCTTTGTGTATTAAGCCCTGTCTATATTGCTTTTCATATTGGTGTTTCTTGTCAATGGATTTCAGAATGGTGCTGGTTAGCCATGGACAACCAAGCCGTGACTGAACACTTCCCAGAACTGCTACGGCTTCTGTAAAGCTCGTAGTTGTTGTGTGGGGGTGGACTTGTAAATATGCTGAGTCATCAACCTAATTAGTGTCACAATGACAAATAACACCACCACTCACCACCCTCACTGCCTGTCAACACCCATCCCTTCCTCCCCACCCCACCAACCCACATGGAAATAAGTCACTGTCTGAATTTTTTGAGTTATCCTAGGTTGATGGTCTCCTTCCTTTCTTCCCTCCTTCCTTCCTTCCTTCCCTCCTTCCTCACATCTCTTCCTTTCTTCCTTCCTTCCTCTCATCTCTTCCTTCCTTCCTCCCTTTCATCTACCTTCCTTCCTTCTTCCTTCCTTCCTTCCTTCCTTCAGGTTGGTTTCCTGGGGATTGCTTTTGGTCACAAACTCCTCAAAACCATGAAATTCATCTTCACTGATACTTCCATCTGTGTTTGAACTGTCACTCGGGAGCAAAAGAGCCCCAATTAGCCGAGGGGTGAGGAGTTTCTTACCGCTAAACATGGTGAACAAGGTGTAATAAAATGGCTTTCTCACAATGCACCACTGGGTCCCCGATTTTTTTTTATACCGTGCACACTGACCATGGAGACCCATTCTCTCACATCCAGGACTACCAGCCTTTTCCTGCTTGATTTGAGTACGCTAGAATTTATGCATACTAATACGGCACCAACCCTGAAAGGGTTAAACACTGGATAATATTAAAATGTTTTTTTCCAAAATTCTCTAAGGGCAAACTCCGTTCCAGAGGTCACTTCAAAGCACCTTTTAAACAGTGTTTTTTTGTAAAGTTTCTTAAAATTGGAAATTATCTACTGGTTCATGGGTTGGATAAGAGGAGTGGTATTAGAGAGCAAGAACTTCACTTTAATGAAGCTGTATTCATCCACCAAATTTTCCTTCAATCCTGGAGGGTGAGCAGGAGCATTGTCCATTACCAGAAGTGCCCTTAACCCTTAAACTGTTCAAACGTAGATCTACATTTGCACGTGTAGCGCTCCGACCTTGGATTTTTCCATAAGAAACAATGTAAAAAATGTAGATCTACATTCGGAGCACTACGCGAGCAAACGTAAATCTATGCTTGGATAGTTTAAGGGTTAATGGTAAGTTCTTTCCACAAGGTACTGCTTCATATTTGGGGCAAACACTTCATGTATCCACTCCATGAAGAACTGCCTTGTTATCCAAACTTTACTATTAGTGTTCCACTGAGTTTACTTTTTATCACATTTTTCTTAAACACCCTTGGATTTTCAGAGTGAAAGACAAGCAACAGTATAATTTTGCAGTCCCCACTAGCTTTACCACACAACAAGACTGTTAGCCTGTCTTCATGGTCCTGTATCCTGGTAATGATTTTTCTTCTTGTGTGATGTAGGTTCTCTTAAAAACTTGTTGAGGAATAATTCCTTCGATGTCTACATAGGTTTTAAATTCCTTAACAAACTTTTCATTCTCAACTCAGTTAGCAGTGGCAGCTTCCCCAAGCCTTACTACACTATGAATCCCACTCCTCTTTTTAAACCTATCACACCAGCCCCTACTTGCCTTAAATTCATCACTTTCAGCACTGTTTCCCTGGGTGTCTTGCCTAAGATCACTACATATATAACTGCTTTGCGTTTTCAGAAATTATTGTTTTAGAAACACTGTCACCTGCCAATTGTTTTTTGTTAATCCACACTAAAGAAAGTTTTTCCATTTCTACAGTTATCTGTGACCTTTTCACAACAAGAATTTTCACTCCTTTCACCTCTTTATTTTTCAATATGGATCATATGGTAGATTTCACCATTCCATATTGAGTGGCCAGGTCCGACACACATGTTCCACTTTCCCACATTGCAATGAGTTTTTTTTTTCACTATAATTGTCGCTCTCACTGCCTTCATTTTAGGCTTGTTTGGTTTGTTTGGGGCCATGATTGCTTATTTTCAATGAAAATATTTAAAAACCACCACAGAATAACAATGAAATACCAAAAAGTTTTATGGAGCTTGTATGAACGTTGCTTAACCCTTAAACTGTCCAAATGTAGATCTATGTTTTTTCAACATTTGAAAGTATGTAAAAAAAGTAGATCTTTTTTTTTTTTACATTTGAAAATGTGTAAAAAACTTCGATCTACTTTTTTTTTGTTATACTATTTGAAAATATGTAAAAAAAAATACGTAGATCTACTTTTGGTGCACTGCGCACGTGAACGTAGATCTGCTTGGACAGTTTAAGGGTTAACGAACGAAAGCTGACGAAAGACTGAGCTTGTGATGCTCTGTTTTGTTGGACTTCATCCAGATGGACCGATTTGTTTATGTCAAATATCAAGGCAGTGTCTGAATACTGAGTAAAATTTTTCTGAAAAAAGTTGGGTGAATATTGAGTTGTACGAATATAAGGACATATAAATATTGAGGTTCTGCTGTACTGTATTAGAGACATTTACATATGAAATTGTAGGGTCCAAGGCCCAAATCTGGAGTCACGCACCAGTGTCCAAGAATTTAAAAAAAAAAAATTTGTTATTTTTTCTTATGAAATCGTAGAGAATCTTTTTGTGAAGGTAATAAAACAAAAAGTACGAAATTTGGTGGAAAATTGACGAAATTATGCTCTCGCGAATTTTGATGTGTCAGCAATATTTACGAATCGGCGATTTTGCCGACTTTGACTCCCATTTTAGGCCAATTACATTATTCCAATCAACCAAATTCTTAGCTATTTCACTAGTATTACTTTTATTCTATCGATTGAGCACAAGAAATCGCCAAGTCAACTGTTTCAACTACAAAATAAAGTGATCAGAAATTGTTAATTTGGCCAATTTAACACAAAGTTCAAAATATTCCAATTTCAAAATAGGGTCCAGAATGAACAATGTAGGCATTCCTGGCACTAAACTAACATTTCCTCTGTTCATTAGTTATGTTTTGAGGCTTTACAAATAAATTCCATTTTGATTTTTTTATTCACATAATGAATTTTTATTCACACCAAAAAATAGAAGATTTTACTGTTATGCAATACTGTAATAATTGTATAAATATCATCACCATATTTGTGAATGTATATTAGACCCACCAGCTGACGTGTATTAGACGTGTGAGGTCGTTTGTTTACTCTTGAATATCGGCAAAAATTTAACATTTCCGCTACTTTGAGCTCAGTTTCAAGCCATTTCCAGTGCTAAAACCAATCAAAATCATCTCTATTTCTGTAATATGTCTTCCATTCTATCAAATGAGACCAAGAAATCGCAAATACAGCTATAAAAAACATACGAAAAAACACTGCAAAGTTGCTATTTTAATCGAAAAATCATGATTTCATTTTTTTTCTCTCATTATACACAGTGTGCTGCAGGATCTGTTTTATGTGGTGCACACATACCACATAGATGTATTCTCTCATATCTAGGCCCAAATGTACCACTCACAGTTTATCAGAGTGAGCTGAGCTCATGGCGTAGATCTACGGTTTGGACCCTGAACGTAAAGCCGTAGATCTACGGGACGGACCCTGAAAGGGTTAAACCACTTAATTTGTATGATTTTATTTATATATTGTAAATCCTGAAATCATAGGGATACATACGCAGTCCTAGGAGACTGAGGATATATCAATCACCCTTTGAATTTATTTTTAATTTATTTATTTAGAAATTTTAGCATACAAACAGAGGTACAAAAAATACAGGTAAGAGCAGCATGCCAAAGCCACTTATATGCATAGCATTACGGGCTGGCTTAAAATTAGATTAACTAAGCAATGATGAAATCAGTGATAAGACATTATTGTAAACAGATAACTATAAAATACAAATGAGTATTACAAAGACAGGTCATAGAACATTTCATAAGTAGTAGTTTCCTTAGTACTTTGACAATATTTATAATTACAGTTTTGGGACACAAGGAATCCACAGCCGATAATGACTATCAACTTACCAGAGAGGTGTTACTGTGCTGATGTAGAGTACCCCATGGCAGTTGTTGGCACTGCTAATCGTCACCTGATTGTATATCAACTTGAAGGTCAGCCACAAGAATTCAAACAGATTGAATCACCACTCAAGTATCAGGTATATATCTTTGCAACTGTGTTTCACCTACTTTTATGCTTTTTGAAATTATTTTTTTTTTACATTTTTTTAACACACCAATCATCTACTAAGGTAGGGTGACCCAAAAAAGAAGAAACACTTTCACCACCAGTTTCTCCATCACTGTCTTGTCACAGGTGTGCCAATGTTACAGCTTAGATGCCCCTCCAAATTGCAGTATTCCCATACTTCTTGCAGAGTGCAGGCACTGTACTTCCCACCTCCAGGAATCAAGATTGGCTAACTGGTTTTCCCTGAATCTCTTCATAAATGTTACCTTCCTCACACTCCAACAGCCTGTCAAGTCATAAAAATAACTTGCCTCCGCTCACTCCTATCTAACACAGTCACACACACCTGCTGCATATCCAAACCCCTTCCGTACAGTACCTCCTGTACCCCCTCCTTCCAACCTTTCCAAGGATGACTTCTACCCTACCTTCCCTCCACTATTGATATAATTATATACTTTCCAAGTCATCCTATTTTGCTCCTTCTTCTCTGAATATCCAAGCCACCTCAGTAAACATTTCTCATCCCTCTGGATGATACCTTTAGTAACCCTGTACTTCCTTTTAATCTGCAAGCTACAAATTCAATGCATGATATTCACATCACACATTGTCCTCAGGCATAACATCTCAACTGCCTCCAGCCTCCTCCTCGCTTCGACATTTGAAACCCATGCTTCACACCCACATAAGAGTATTGGCATCACTATACTCTAATACATTTCCTGTTTTGCCTCCATGAATAATGTTTTTTGTTTCCACAGATGCTTCAGTGCACCACCCACCTTTTTTTTTTCATTGTCAATTCTATGATTCATCTCATTTTTACATTCTGTATATTTTTTTTTTTTTTGGTCACCCTGCCTTGGTGCAACACAATCTTTTTAACAGTTTACCTGATGGTTATAAAAAACATTTTTTTTCAGTAACTTCAAAAGCATTGTAAAAAACATCTAAACTTGATGCATTCGGCACTAATTTCGGCTAGCGTAATTTCAAATTTCCAGGGCCGCCACACCAACCTGCTGGTACTGTTTGGTGGCGCTACTTGCTGCATAAGTTATTCCAGTTTCTTTTTCTCCATTTATTGTTATAACCTGCTTGATTTAAGCCCTAGCCATGGTTCCAATGAATAAAAGAATTGCTTCTCGTGTAAAGCACCTACACAGTACATTGTCCATTAAAGATAAGGTGGCTTTGAAGTCACTGTCTGTTGCCATGAGCTCAGTTTCATGATGCAGGGGAATATGCTTTATTATTATGCTAATATCAATACTACGGCTTATTTGCCTATCACAATTGATTTAATATGACATAATAAACAATATAAATAAAATAAAAACATGTTAAATACTCCAGAATAAATAATATTTGGCATAATACTGTGCAATTCTACATAGGTATGAAGGGGATATGGGATACAAGTACCATTCTCCTATCTCTGTCATGGGGGCTTATATTAGAGAAAACGGAGTATAGCACAGGGCTAACTGTGACATACACTCGTACTGCACCATAAAGCTGAAACAAAAAAGCTATTTTCTCTATGTTGATTATCACATACAGCAGCATATGTGTAGAGAACCCAGGATAATCCAAAAAAGTTAGATGAAGTGGCTTATTTCTAGTACCTAGCTTGGGCTAGTAATGTATGATTTTTGTAAGTACAGTGGACCCCCGCTTTACGATCAGCTCCCAATGCGACCAATTATGTAAGTGTATTTATATAAATGCGTTTGTACGTGTATGTTTGGGGGTCTGAAATGGACTAATCTAATTCACAATATTCCTTATGGGAACAAATTCGTTCAGTAATGGCACCTGAACATACTTCTGGAATGAAATAATATCGTAAACCGGGGGTCCACTGTATTTGATTCCCAGCCAGGGTAGAAACATTGGGTGTGTTTCTTTACACCTGTTGTCTATGTTCACCCATCAGCAAATGGGTACCTGGGTGTTAGTGAACTGGTGTGGGTCTTATCCTGGGACACTGACCTAATTTGCCTGGAATGCTTAGCATAATAAGGGGCTTTCTAATATAGTAGTATGTCACTGATGTCAGCTAGGCCTGTATACCATGTACATGTACTTGTAATAAATAAAGATATTATTATTATTATTATTATTATTATTATTATTATTATTATTATTATTTTCTCTTAGTTGTTTGTTGGGCTATCTTATGTAAACTTGGGCAATGTATGATGGAAAGCTGCTTCTTAATGTACACCAAAAATGAAAGAAATCAGACCATAAATAACGGACTTCACTTCTCAGACATTAGCGGCCCCATAGTGGTATATTTTCCTATGGTTTTTATGGTTATATTCTTGTTTTTTTGGTCTCATTTGATAGAATGGAAGATATATTACAGAAATAGATATGATTTTGATTGGTTTCAGAAGGAAAAGCACCTTGAAATTGAGCTCAAAATAGCGAAAATGTTCCTTTCTTTAGCGATGTTCAAGAGTAAACAAATGTCACTGTCTAATACGTGTGCGCCTGCCAGTCCAAATTCCAAAACATTATTTATACAATTATTACAATAATGCGGTAGTCTGCATAACAGTAAATCTTCTATTTTTTGTGTGGATAAAAATTCCAAATGGTAAGCAAGAGTAATATAAGAGGGGCCTGGAGCCATGACTAATGAACAGAGAAAATATTATTTTAGTGCCAAGAATGTCTGCATTGTTTATTCTGGATCCTATTTTGAAATTGGCCAAATTGCCAATTTCTGACCACTTTATTGGGTAGTTGAAATTGGTGAATGGGCGGTTTCTTGTACTCAGTCGACAGATTAGAAGAAAATAAGTAAGTTTATTCAGGTATATACAAATACAGGTACATAGATTATCAAACATAGCAGTGTACAGTATGTATAGAGAACCTAGGATAACCCAAAAATGTCAGACAAAGCGGCTTATTTCCAGTACCTGGCTTGGGCTTGCCATATATGATTTTTGGTAAATTATTTTTTTTCTCGGTTGTTTGTTGGGCTATCTTGTTGAAACTTGGGCGATGTATGATGGAAAAATGCTTCTTAACGTACAACAAAAATGAAAAGAAAACAGACAATAAATAATGTAGTTCACTTCTCAGCCATTAGCTGCATCTTTGTGTATATTTTCATATGGTTTTTATGGTTGTATTTTCATTTTTTGGACTCATTTGATAGAATGGAAGATATATTACAGAAATAGACATGATTTTGATTGCTTTCATGGTGAAAAGTACCTTGAAATTGAGCTCAAAGTAGCGGGAATGTTTGATTTTTGCCGATGCTCAATGAACTTTGTGTAAGTCAAGTTGGTTAATTTTATTAAGTGTATTCTAACCAACCTAACCATTCTGTAATCCGGCAAACTCAGTAAACCGGCGCACTACAGGTCCCAATGATGTCGGATTTGTGATGGTGGACCTGTACTTCATATGATGATCATAAACATTTACCATATTAGTTGTTTTTTAAACTGGTTGCTTACTCATCTGCTACCTCCCTATTGTAATCCAAATCACATATTATAATATAAATCACCTTATTAATGTAGAGAAAATATTCATGCTTAATTGCCACATACAACTTGTATTACATGCTATTATCCTTATCTAAATACCAAGTATTATTGTATTAAATAGTTTTTAAGTATTAGATTTAATCTGCTCATATTGCTTTGCATAACAAGGAAAAAGCATATGAGAGGTACTGTATATAAAATTTGTACATAGGCAATCTGTAATATCCATATATGTTTGAAGGAAATAAAGATTATTATTATTGTTATTAACCCTGTGACTGTCGCAAGCCCCTTTCTGAAACTGTCATTTTATGTCGCAAAAGTTTTGGGAAAAAAAATGATTTTTTCTTATGAAATGATAGAGAATCTTGTCCCGATAATAATGACACCAAAAGTACGAAATTTGGTCAAAAACTAAGGGAATTACGCTCCCGTGAAGTTGGCGGTCTCTGCGACATATACGCATCAGCAATTTCGCCGACTTTGAGCCCTGTTTTTGGCCAATTCCGTTGTTCCAGTTGACCAAACTCATAGCTATTTCTTTAGAACTCCATTTTTTCTATCTGTTGAGTACAAGAAACCACCCATTTACCGATTTGAACTACCCAATAAAGTGGTCAGAAATTGGCAATTTGGCCAATTTCACGCAAGTTGAAAAAGATGCCCATTTCAAAATAGGGTCCAGAATAAACAATGTAGACATTCTTTGCACTAAAATAACATATCCTCTGTTCATTAGTCATGTCTCTAGGCCCCTCTTATATTACTATTGCTTTCTCTTTTTATTTTTTATTCATACAAAAAATACTGTTATGCAGACTACTGCATTATTGTAAAAATGGTGTAAATAATATCAGTGCACTAGTGAAAGAATATTAGACTCCCCAGTTGACGTGTATTGGACGTGTGGTGTGATTTGTTTACCCCTGAACATTGGTAAAAATCGAGCATTTCTGCTACTTTGAGCTCAATTTCAAGGTCACGTTCATTGTGAAAGTAATGAAAATCATCTCTATTTCTGTAATATGTTTTCCATTTCATCACGTGAGACCATGAAAATGAGAATACAACGATAAACACTATACGAAAATACACGTCAAACTCGGCGTTTTAATCCAAAAATACGGTCAGTATTTTTTTTTTTTCTCATTATGCACTGCATGCTGGAGGATTTTTTTTATGTGGTGCACACTGACCATACAGACCCATTCTTTCACATGTGGGCCTACCAGCTTTCTCCTGCTTGATTTGAAGCTGCTAGAATTTACGTGTTTAAATACGTCAGAAACAGTGGCACGTAAGATGTATTTATACAACGTAAACAGTCAAAGGGTTAATATGATTATTATTTTAGTATTATGTAGCATGTAAAATTACGTGCATATTCTTTTTTTCAACACACCGGCCATATCCCACCGAGGCGGGGTGGCTCAAAAGGAAAAACAAA